GTGCAGTCCTACTGCTTCAAAAGAAACAGTTGGAGGTAAGCTGACAAAGAAGTAGAAAGCTGGAGTAACCAAGGGGTTAAAGATACAGTTTACACTTGGGAATTCTCTATAATATGCTCCTCCTTCCCTAGCAGCTGCCAAAAATCATATGACAGGAAACACAAGATTAAGTTTGTCCCACCTAAGTGAACAAAGAGTGCTCAGAACAGGCAATCAGTTCACTGCAGAGCAAGAACTTTTCTAATCCTGCTGGAATCCACAGTGCTGCTCAGAAAATATTACTGAAATTGTTTTCTTTACTTTTACATCTTACTTCTAGATCATCTCATTCATTTTGTTCCACACTGCAGTTCTTGTTGCTTTTCCCATAAAGGTTAACTTCAAGCTCCAAACATAATCATGTGGAAAATGGACATTATTGATTCCTATGGTCCATTGTTCCCCCATTCTGAGTCCCTGAAGTTCAAGTTCAATCTGGAATTACATCATGTCTGGTTTCTCCTGGTTACCAGACGGCTTGAGACGTGACCACAGCTACAGAAAAAACAAACAGCCTTCTTCACGCTTCGGCTCCCCTATCGATTCAAACATAAACTTTTTTTCTTTCTCTCAAGTACGCTTCAAGTATGGAGCATGGTTAATTTAGAGATTAAGTTCCAAATTAGATTATCTAATGGCATCTTAATGGATTACTGACCCATTTCCTGTGGGATGGCAGCATGCAAGTCTGGCTTGAATACAACTAATTTCTTAGGAAGTGTTTGGAACATATTTTCCTAGATGGAGAGGAAACATAATGTTCTGCACATCTTTCTGCATTAACGAGTTGGGCAAAACTATTAGAGTTAGTAATTTAAATTTATAAAGATCAGAAATCATTAGATTTTCTCTCCATGAATATTATTACAATCAGGATACTTCAGCCTTTTTTTTCTGAAATTGTAATGAATTGATACTTCTATTCCATAATTAATTGATACTTCTATTTCAAAACATTTCCAGGGTAATGGGGGCAGGAGAGAGAGGTGAGAGAGGGGCAGGAGTCAGAGTATACAAACCACTGGTCTAACAGGTGTCTGTGTTTGATAAAAAGTGCTTGCCACAGCAATGCTGCTGACTGTGTTCCTTTAGCTATGTGTTTGCTATGTGTTTGATACCAAACACACACAAGGTGTTGTGCTGCAAAAGCAATCTGCACCCATTCTCACTTCCCCTGCAACCTCTTTCACAAATCAGATTATCCCATTTGATTGCTTTATCAGCACTGTTATCATAAACACACAGTGGTGCTGGGGGGGAAACGATGCTTGGAATGCTGAACACCCATACAGCCAGAGCTGACAAAGAAATTCAGCACTCTGAGAACAGAGCTCCCCTCAGTATCTCCAGGAACAAACCAGCTGTTGTATTATGATGATGTGTGAAGATAACAGAACACAAGCAGGAAATGCTAGCCTAGTCCATTTGCCTGGATACTGTAAAGTTAAAGTAACAACCCACAAAACTAACACAAACGATTCTTGAAAGAATTCATATAAATAAAAACACATTTGTCAATAGTTGAGTTAAAATGTACACTTTGGCAATGAAAAGTTGCTTACAGTCTGTGTAAGACTTGCAAAATACTCTACATGCTCTAAAAGAGGCTCACCATGCCAGCTTTTCTGAGTATTTATACTGGAAATACTATCAATAGTGTAATAGTGGCTTAGATTCAGGATCAAATGCGTTACGAGACTCACCCCCCACCACCACTTTTTGTCACTCTCACTGATGTCTCAAGTGTACTTTTTGCAAACACTCTTGCTCTCATGTAGTGACAGAGACTGTGTTTTCCAAAAGGAGCCTTATAGATTTTCAGATCTTCCTCCTGCCTTATGTCTCCAGGAAAACAATTACTATCACAGAACTACAGTTACCAAAAAAAAAAAAAAAAAAAAAAAAGGGGGGGTTGGGGTTTTTTAGTGCTTCCAAGTATCTTCCTCACATTTATACCCAAAATTGGCCTAAATTGTCTTAAAAGTACTGGCAAACTTAATTCTATGGATGTGCTTAGATATTTTTCAAAGTTCAGCGGACATGGTAAAATATATTTACAAATAAATACAAAAAGACATATATGCATAAGGAAAATATAGAAAGATGTAATATGTACAATTAATGTTCTAAGTAAACCACAAAAACCCAAAACAAAACAAAACAAAATTGCAGATGGTTAGGTTTTCAGGAGTAAAATAAAAATTACTACTTTCAAATACCTGACCAAGTAACTGGGGGTCTTTTGAGCTTTTTTTTTTTTTTTTGGATGCTCACAGGATTTTTAATATATTTCTTTTAAGGATACTAGAATTTTTAGTTCAGTTAAGCAAAGTATTAACCTAATATATGTTATTACTATTCCTTGCAAGTCTTCTGGTTTAATAGAACATGGTGTATCAGTTACTTAGAAGTTTCATAGCTTGGTGTTGGTTTTTTGTCTTGTATTATTCATATTCTCTTCTTTTTTTGAAAAGTTCGATATTTGTGCACAGACCTTTACTGTCTTATACCTGAGCCTTTAAATGCCTGCAGATACATAATTTTATAAGGAAAGAAAACCCCAGAAAATATATTTAATAATCTATATATGTTATTTTGAAATCTATGCACTAGATCTATATCCAAGTATGACAGGTAATTATTAATAAGACAAAGAACACAGAAACAACAGTTTGATCATAATTCACTCTCCCCAAGTTTTCAAGGTGTGGTTCACCAACAATGCTTCATGAAAAAGCTTTCAGTTTGACTGTATTTGCTCCCTGATCCCTTTAGTGACAGGGCAGTTAACATTAAAGAACTGCCAGCTTTTTTACCTTCTTGAGGTCACTAATATTTCAGAAAAATCAGTATACTTAAAATAACCACAAAAGCCTGATGTAAGAGGTCAGATTAAGCACCATCAAAATGAGCACTGCAGATCTGAGGAAATCTCATAATCAAACGTATCAAACCATTTGGGGTTGTGGAAACTTGTCTGGACTAGGATATATTTCTTTGCCAACATGTGACAATTCATTTAGCAACAACTTCTCCCTCTTTTTTTTTATTTTTAGTGTTAGTTTTAGCATCAGAGACATTCATTGCTCCTTAGCCTGTGCAGGTATAATTTCTCCTCTGAGATTCTCACCTCTGTGGAATTTTAAAAATGTCGTACTGAAAAACCCAAATCCTAAAAGCAATCTGCTAAGGGAGAACTGTTTGGTTCTTCCCTCAAGGCTGTGCATAATCCAAGAGCAAGTAACACAACCTAGGCCTCTAAAGAAATGCCCATGGCAGAATTTGTGCCCAAGTTCTTCTGGAAGCACTTCTGTACACTCCTCAGGCCAAAGTGGCATTCTTGGAGTGACCTGCAAGACAGTTTCGTCTATAACATTGAGTAGATCATGGAGCATGCATGTATTCACCAAGGTTTTCATGGTCACTCCTAGAAATGTTTTTCCCCTGCCTTTCCATTTTTTTTTACAGTTTATGCCCAGGGTCTTGTATGATGGGTTCTGAAAAACAGAATTCAGCAAACGCTAGGACAGTGGCTCAGCCAGTATAACTGGCATTACTTTAAGGAGGGTTTGAGTGATGACTGATTAAAACCATTCAAGGGTATTCCTAGATAGGCTGTTGTGATGTAATTTCCTAACGGCTGTCAATGCCCTGAAAAAGCAACACCCTTTGTAGTGGGAGAATAAATCAACCCCCTCTGTGCTACACTAGTTCAGTTTGGATTCATTCCTGGCAGCGCATTGAAAACAATTACTGCATGATGGGGATCTATAATGTGAATCATAGCCCTTGAGGAGATGAGGTGAATCCATTAGCTAATTTTCCATTCTGCTATTTAATCTACAAAGACAGAAATGACAAGACCTGATTTTTACACTACAGTTTTACATATTTAAAACATTATTACAGAAAAAAAAAAAAAAAAAAATCAAAATTCAGATTTTGTTAACAGCATTTTCAAATTCAGTAACTGCCCTTCCAAGTTGATTCTCAAAAGCCCCAAACCTTCTCACAACCCATAGTACCATACAGTGTATCAAAAGGCACATAACACATATACCCAACTACACTCTCACACATTCTTACACAAAGTACATATATTTTCATGTACACATAAATTTCTAGAAAGTATTGAAAATTACTTCAAGAGTGAGTGGCTTCATCTGACAGGCTCCCAACCCCCAGGCTTTACATGTACAACTCCCATTAAGATAATCCTGCACATGAAAAAGATGAAAACTGATGTATCAAAATCATGATGACTTGTTTGTACACCTATTTAGACACAAATAAATCCCCACCCTCTGCTGTTACCATAATTCATTATATACTAAGAGATGTAAAATATAACAGTTTAATAATGCAATGAAGTTTAATGGAGTTTATAGTTTGGTTTATTTGTGGAGCTTTTTTCATACAGAAAAGAAATTCTTTTTTAATGTAAATCATCCCTAATTATTTTGTTATTTAGTTGACAAATAAGATTGTTTATATCTTACCTTCATATACATGTTAGTGACCTATGTCTACACCAGCCAATTACTCTGAAAAGTCTTCATGAATAATATAGTTATTCATTGCCCAAAACAACCACCACCTCTGCCATTTATTTTTATACTCATCTACACTACTAACAGCACCATTTTCTTTGTGATAACCACTAAGGCCTCCAAAATATGACTGTAAATGACATTTTTAAAGCCTAAGATCAGTATTCCCTTCAATTCACAAACCCTTTGCATTTGACAGTACAATGTTATCATTCCAGGTGTTTAATTAAGGTAGTTTCTAAATTCAGCTTTTACATGAAGAATAACCTGAATGTGTATAGGAGAAATGTTACACACATACTTTGATCAAATGCTGCCATATATACCTCTGGAGACCCACTAATACAGATATCGTAGTTCTATGCAACTTTTTTAGAGGTGGTGTAGGGGTGGAAATAATTAAAATGTTACCTTTGCCAAGTAATTCCCAATGTATCCTCACTGGCACTGGGGTATAAATGCCTGCCGTTTTGATTCATGGTCCAGTCACAAATTCTCAGCTGTCAATTGAAACCTAGCAGTCAGATATGGATCGAGCATACTACAGTTTTTAGTATTTAAATGAACACATGCAAACTAGTACTGTACATGGTAAAAATCTTACTTTCCCAAGAAGTAACTTTAGAAAATAAAAGAATACAAAGAAAAATAACTTATTTTGAGAAATAAATGTCTATAGATTTGCTTAAGATAATGCTACTTTAATATGATTCTTTATTAATAAAGCATAAAAGAGTAACTAGTGTGTAGCACATAACAATTAGCCATTATCAGATTAAAAACTGAGCTGGAATAAAAGGAAATGTTAATATTCAACAGTGAGATACTTTGAGAAAGGAAATAAAAATGCTGGGTTTTTTCAGGAATGCTTTATATAATGTGTATTGAGTAAAGGTCAAATACAATTAATATCTTCCAGCATGCATTTTGTGAACCATAGAAGACATGCAATTTATAGAAAATTTGCCCAAATTAAACAAACTCTATCCTTTATCTTGCTATTTAAGATGAGTAAAGGTATTTTGTAATTGAAGTTTATTAATCTAGTGTTACTGAAAGTTGTATTACTTAGCAAGAAGTGATAAAATAATCTAATCTTTCTTTAGACTCAGAAAAGTAGCATTTAAAATATTTTACTGCATTTTAATATAATGAGGAATGTACTAAATGTTAGCTGAAACAAATTTTTCCCAGATCCTCAAATCATCAGTTCTGCCTTCACAGATTGTTCAAGCAAACCTCTACAGCTCTTTTTATTTAACAGCTGCCTGATAGTGTTAGCAGATTTATTGAAAAGATACGCTGCTTATTTTTAAGTTTAAGAAAGTGAACTTATCTAGCTTGTGAAGAAAACATAGATTTTAAGCTCTTCATAGTCATGCTTTTATAAACTGATGTTCCAATATACATGATACAGCACTCCAAATTGAAGATAATATTGCTGAGTTTAATCACATCTAATGCTTTTTAGTTTTCTCTATCTATAATCACAGCCTTTAGATAGCACATGCTACAGCAAACAAACTATAATAAACTGTTTTCACAGGAGCACAATTAATTGCAGTCTTTTCCTGAAAAATACAAATGCTGAGGACAAGACAATATTGCAAACCTGACCCTGTCTGGCTGTTAGACTCATAAGCTTCCTGCTGTTAAGGTCTGAGAAATGGAAATGTTAGTCTTTGATGTTTTCATAGCAATTGTTTCTTGTTTGTTATCTAAAGAACTCCAAGGGACCTTCTAAAGGCCATTAAAAGCATGACTAAACCACATGAAATTAACCAGAAAAGGAAACAGGCAGTCAAAAAGTTTGCTAGAGGTAACTGTGAATATGTTTAAAGAAATGGGTAAGTAAATATTTGATTTAGTCACTATACAAAACAGTGTTCTAAACCTGATTTTCGTAGTGAAAGCATAGTAAAATATGTCAGCTCAGTTACTCAAAGTACAGTAGATGTATTTCTGCTATATTCCTTAAGAATGTTATCAAATTCACTACCAATGTATATTTTAAAACTTTATAATTTAGCTATAAATTATATAAAAAGTCACTTCCAGCTGAAACAGAAGACTGAAAGGTTAAACCCACCCATCCACCTTTTTTTTCATGTTTCACAAAATACAAAATCTATGAGTAAAAGTCAGGCATTAAAAAAACCTAAACTCAGTGTTACCAAATTATTTTATGCACTTAGGTCTAACTCAAAGAACTGGCAGGCACTTAGCTTGATATAAAACCTAACTGCATTTGCCACTTGGGGGAAAACAGTAAGGGACTGACATATTAAATTTTAGTAAATTAACTTCTGCACTAAATCACTATATTTTTCCTGCAGTCTGCATGAAAACCTTCCACTGGTAAAGTTAATGTCTTAAATTATCATTAAGAAAGCTCCAAAAAGCTTTTCAAACACATTTCATAGAAGTTAGTAATGACATGCTTCTTATTACATAGTCATATGTGGTAAATGGTAATGGCCGGTCTCTTCGCGAACGAAGAACCGGGGAAGGTCTTTCCACCTTCCAGCCTGCGCATTGGATTTTTTAGGTGAGACACAGTGTGCGTGGAACTGAGCCCACCCTTTAATCCTGAGGTTCATCTGCCGGGGCCAAGCACGCTTGGACGGTGGCAGCGAGGTCCTCAGGACGTAGATGGATTGCCTTACAGGGCTAACGAGCTCCATCTGCCCGGGGAGTGTCCTAACCGGGAATCGAACCCAGATCTCAGCGTTGACAACGCTGTGGTTTAGCCACTGCACCACCAGGGACACTCTATAGTCATATGTACTTCAGTGCATACACACCAAAATACTGCAATGTAATAATAGAACATGTGCATTTTATACATATGCTGTAGACACATACACGCACATGTATATGAAGATCCATGCTACACCAGCATCACAGTTAGTGTAAACTACAGAACTGTTCACTGCACCAACTGTGCCACACTTGCAATACTGACAACACCTTGAAGAACCACAGGTCTGCACAACTGGTTCTGTGGCAAGCCCGGGACTGCATGAATTGTTCTGAAATATACCTTCCTAATGTTAAAAATTGTTGCTCCACACTCTGCAGTAGGCTCACATAACTGAAACATTGTCTTTAGAAATTAACCTGCCTGGAAACTTGTTTGGGTTGGCGTTTTGTTTTGTTTTATTTTATTTTTATTTTTATCTCCCTCACATAAAATTTTCTATCTCAACTTACTCCTCCTGAAAGATCAGGATGTCTAAGATTTAGAAATATACTGTCAAAAGGATATAGAAATATCACTTCCAAAGTCTGCATCGGCATCCTGTGTGTGTGTTGAGTGCTTTCTGGGTAAAAAGGCTGGAAAAGCTTAAAAGAACTTTGTAAGCCTGGGCTCCATTTGATGGAAGAAGAAGTCTGTTCGCAGCAGCAGTGGGAATGCTGCCCTTGGAGAGTGTCCAGACAGCCCAGTAGGGAAAGCCTGGGGGCACAGACCTGACATGAGTACCAAGCTTTAGAAGGATGTAGGACACTTTATTACAGTATTATGAGTGCTATATGTTGTCTGGAGTCATACTGAAAGCTCTCTGTCTAGTTACTGTCCTCAGAGTAACTTAGGTGACCTCTAAAATCATTCCATATTGTTAGCTGGAGATGAGAAGGCACATTCACTTTCAACCACTCTAAGCCATCTACAAGAGTTATCCTTCCCGGCACGTAAATAGAAGAGGCAGGAAACTACTTGAAGGCTACTTGAGAAAACTTACATTCCTCACTAGAGGGACTTAAATAATCCTCAGGAGACATCTGACAAATGCTAAAAAAATTTAATAATTTTCTCAGAGAAATTATACAAATGCAAAATAAATGCCCTGAATTGGCATGTGACATGGTGAAAAGACTTTCCTAGACACCTTTCGAACAGACTTGCCCTTTAAAATCCAGTTTTGTCTTTTTTTTCAGCAAGGAAAGCCACAGGAACTTCACTTCAATATCACCTTCCATCCACTAAACAGTATCAACTATTTTGTCATTTATCTCTCATCTAACCACAAAGGAAAAGAGGATGGATTCGTATACTGAACTGGGAATGGATGCCCAGCCATGCAGCAGAGGCAGCCCAGCAATTTCCTGAGGCATGGCACTGCCCTCATCCCTACGACACACCCTCCTTACAAGACTCATGAAGAGGCAGAGGATCACAAAGAGCACAGCAAACACTTCTCCCAGAAGGGAGTGCAACTCTCTTATTCACCTCAGCCACCTTACAGGAAGGGGCCAGAGGCCCAAACAGAAGCACAGCAGTATACCAACAAGTGCTTCTGTTCTGTAAAATGTCAGGAAATTGACTTTGTTTTGCACTTTCCAGAGCTGTGAGACTGACGTGAAGTTCTACCAAAGAGCTAGATTTCACTGCAACTGTCTTCACAGTTTAAATGGCACCTTTCAAGCACAACCATCCTGCAGAGTTTTAAGTATGCAAGTCACACATACATTATAAGCCCATAGGCAAGAGCACAATCTTTAATCATAGTATGAATAATTTTTAGGGGTTAGAATTTAATCAGATTTTGTAGTCTTGTATTTATAGAGTGGCTGTCCAAGACTAAAATTCATTTCAAGGTTCTGTGATAGCTAAGCAAAATAGATATATATTTTACAAAGTGTAATAGGAGACTTTGCTATCTTCTCTTACTTGAGAAAAACCCATAAAACTTATCATTTGCATATTGTCACTGTTTTGACTGAAACTTCCTTTAAATGTGTTTCCTTTCCAGCAAGCATATGTGAAAGGTGACCTCTTAGCCATTTACATACCTCCCTGCTGATCATGTGACCCAGTTTTACGTCAAACTGTCAATTATGATAAGGGACACAATAAGAACAGTCAGAGTGTTGATAACCTGTTTCCTGAGTTTACTGAGAAGTTCTCTTTAAGAGCCCACTTGTGTTCTTCTTTCAGCCTGCTGCTGAAAGCAAAAGTGACATTGACCCAAAACATTTTGCAAATGAATAATCTGTGTTCAGTGGACATTTAAGTTTGCAAGTTCCATGATGAATAGTATGAAGAGAACTGCATTTTGAACTGTGCAACTCAGTAAATAAAGGATACATCTGGTAAGAACAACTTCCTACTGAGGAGACAGGGAAGACATTCATAGGAAATAAGAAGCTTTCTACAGATTTCTGATTTTTCATTTTAAAGACCTTTTTACTATGTACGTTGAAAATGTCTGACTCATAATTGCAAAAGCTGTGTGAAAATAATGAGTACAATATAACATACCCAGAAAGTCTGAGCTCTAGTGAAAACCATACCACAGTGATTATCAGAGCAAAGACTGGAGGAGTACAGTAGCTCCCCGGCAATTGAGCCAGCATTACTTAGCACCATTTACTATGACAGGAAAGGTCTAGAGGTCATTGTCTTCACAGACCTCAATAGTTATCCGATTTATTTATGTTTTAAAATCAAAAATAGAATCACCCATACAACACCCCAAGGTGTATAAAACTGAAGTAAACAGTCAAGAAAGAAAATCTTTCAGTTATTTCATTCATTCTAACAGAAATCTTACAGAAACCATCAATCTATTTACAACAAATGCAAATGTCTTTGTATGTATCCATACATCCATCTATCCTTTTATACTGTTTACATAGGTAAAGTGCACAACTAATATTCTGGCAAATTTGTAGCTTTATTGCCAGAAACAACATAACCTGACTCTAGGGGTCTGTCATTTCAAGAACATAATAAATCCATGAAAGTTGAGGCTACAGAAATGCCATCGCAAGTTAATAAAACATAAGAACAGAGATACAAATAGAATCTGGCAAGGAATTGTGTCCACTTGTAGAAGGCAAAATTTTACTGACTTTTCTCAATTTGTTGTTTTTTCCTCTAGTTTAGGCTTAGAAACCACAAATCTTCAATAAATGTAAATCAGAGAAAGAAAGGGGGAAAAAGGTGCTCCCATACAACTGGAAAGGTTATCCAACCTTTTATTCACAATTTATTTCAGCACAAATGAGGAGTACTGAGCACTAGATTTGACTTCATAAAATAATTCCACCAACAACCAACAGTAAAATTAAGAAAAACTGTCCCTCAGATACCAGCTCTTGCCACTTCCCTTGCCCCTTTCCAAGAAAAGAAAAATGATTGGTCACTATTATTTTGTAACATACAGAGGGGGCTGACATGAATTTTTTACAACAAAATGACGAGATAGGTGTGACTCTCTATACGCCACTGAAGAGATATGTATTGTAACTATTCATGCCACAGTATAAGAATACTTGGCATTTCAGGGCAGGTAATGGGAAGATCCATCAGCAATTGCATCAGAAAGTGGACTGCATAGTTATAATCCCCCAATAAAACCTGGTCTTCCTAACTATCAATGTAACATGCTAAGTAATGCATATAACACCGTATTTTCACAGTATCTATACCAGTAAAAGCTAACAAACTCTCTCATTGGTCCTATTATGCATTGTCTTTCTAAGTTTTATTCAGTGCTTCCCATCTAAATATGAGTATTCCAGGTCAGCTGTGCTATAAATTGTTTACTGGAAGTTCTAGAAAGCTATCACTGTGGCAAGATTCTGTGTTGCAAAATACATGTGTAATGTTTAAATTTATTGTGGTTACTGTAATTTAAATGGGCTCCATAATGGTTCTTTTTAACAATAAAAAGTACTCAAGGGTACATGCCAATATTTCTCATAACCAGAGAGAATAAATCTTCATAAAGACTCCTCCAACGAGGTAAAAAATGTACCAGTGACAATATTTATTCTTGAAGGGTCAATGTACATTACAGGGTATGGTGAATATTTAAAAGACCTCTCTGGAACTAAAACCACTGGCTTTCTAATTTAGAATTTCTCTCCCATAATACAAAATGATTGATTGCCTTTATTTCATGTACCCCTTCATTTTTCTTTTCATTCATCATGGGCTGCTTTAAACCAAATGCATTTAAAATCTGCCACACGAAGAGTGGTCTCTTTTAAATTGTTGTAAAGTAATGAAAGGACATAGGAAATCAATCCCATTTCTGCTTTACCAAAGGATAACCTTTGCTCTATTGAAGTTGTTTAGACAATCTCAGTGCTCTACCTCACTTTCTGGGTAATATATGTATACGGCACTGTCATCTCCAACATGCCTTTAGAGCTGAATGAAGGTAACTAATTAATTAGAAACTTTCTTATAAATACTTATATATTCATATTTATCCATCTGAAAAACTTTGTTATTAAAGTATTCTGTTCTTTCAAGTGATTTCAGCTGTACATTCTATTCATTAATTTCCTAAATATGTATAGGCATACACAGACACACACAGACACACTCAGGCAAGCATAGACATGTCCATTGCATATATTAGAAGAGAACAGAGAATGAACAGCAATGACAATAATACAATTTTTAAATTTACTGTATGGCTCATTGGTCACCAATTGGTGCTCTTGAATTAATATAATGAGACTATTAAGCAATATATTTTATAAGCAAGAACATTAACAAAGCGGCATTGAATAATTCTCTCAGAAGTGCACGTGAGATGTAACTTAGTTTCCCCTTTCCCCTAAGCCACCTGGCCAATTGTTTTACTGAGGAGTTTAAGACGCAGTGCATGTAAATGCCAATGACCCTTGAGATCCCTCTCACTTTCATATTCAAATGACACAGCTGAAATTTTGAAATCTATTTCTATCTGCAGAAAGCCAAAAATAAATAGATGATGCACAACATTAGCAATGCATACTTTTTATGTCACAAACTCATCCAGAAGAAATTAAATCCACTACTTTCTGGCATGCGACAAAAGTTTGTAAGCTTTTCAGCGAACTTGGAAGAAGGTGGAATGGCTTAGGCAGTAGCAAATTTTCAGAAAAAATGGTGTCCAAAAATATGGAGTGAAAAAAAATGTTGCACATTCCCAAATTAACTGGATGTCAGAGACGTTTCAAAGGACACTGTGTAAAACTTCCCAAGAAGTCCACAAATTACATGCACTGGGCTTAAAGAGAGATATTGTGTGTATTTTAAAACACAATAAATATATACTGTGTATGCTTTAAAAAGAGCCATATTACAGTAATTGCAAAACATTTCATAATGCAAAAATCTTGGAGAGGTTAAAAACCCCCAACAAAACACCATGCCAGAAAATTTACTGAGAAATTAATGGTTGGCAAACCCACTAAATGTAATTTGGTACTTTCAGAATGTACAGATGTTTGCAGTTAGGTCTCACTAGTTAAAAAAAAAAAAAAAAAAGTTGGCAAAGCACCAATTACTTTAAACAAACTATCATCTTTATGATTTTCTCTGAACTCTGCATGTGGTGACCTTTAAAACGGACATACTGCCACCTTGCCCTCAGAGTGGGTAGAGATAGGGAGTTCCAGCTGAAGCAGAACAGGTAGATTTTACTGAAAAATTAAACAGGCATGTGTACAAACTATTGACAGGAAACCAAGTCTGACAAAAAAAATACATTACAACAAACACCAAGGACTACTTAAGAGCCTCTTTCTTACTGCCCAAATCAGCTTTTTTCTTTATAAGATTTTACATGCTGTGAATTTCAAAGTACTCTACTGTTAAGATCTAGGAGGAACGCAAACACACATCATAAAGTATGTTAAAATTCTAAAGGGTCTGAATTCATGTTTGTTACTAGTAATGTAGCATTTCTGTATGTGAATGGCCTTGCTACGGACTGCAGCTAATTTATTTGTATGCCACCATTAATCTTGGCTGTATATTTTCACAGTTTGGGTAAACACTTCATTTGCATTAAATTTACAGCATTAATGAGATGTGAAATTCAAAATGCTACTTGAAACATAAATGATATAAAAACTAGAACAAAAACATGGTTTTATCACATTTGAGATCAGCAGACCAATGTAAGCCTATTAAACTAGAAGTGATGATGTATTGCACTGAGAATTTGGTTTTATAACTGATCTTCTAAAACTAAAACAAAGAAATGTGTTAAATATCTGGGGGAAAAGACCAAAATAGTTTCCAAATAATAAACTGGACTTTCTGCTTTGGAAAAACAGATTTTGAAATCAGTATTTGTTTCTTAAACAGTACATTCTCCTTCCTAAAATTCTACTAAAGATCACATGTATGAGCTCTTGAAAAAATAAAATAATGAAAGAAATATGGTTAGCAGTTCCTTAAGATGGCACAAATCTAAGAAATACAGCATAGGCTAAATTGGTATTTCTCAAAGGGTTCAGTTGCTTTGAATAAACTTCATCTTCACATGACAAATACTGAAACCCTTAGTATTTCAGTCTAGTCCTAGATAACAGTGGCAGCACGTAGGAAGGTAATATTGCAAAGGCTTCTCTATATCATCACACCTATGTGAAACTTGCCCACCTGTTGCTGGTGTAGGAAGGATGGGTCTCTTGGGCTTAGTCCCACATATCGATTGGCTTGGGATGTGCCTGAGGCTGTGTAGGCTGATTAAGGAAGAACAAAACATATTGATAAAAATACCAACCTATCATAACTATTACCTTGTGCAGGTACAGTACAAATACAAGAGATCCAGAGTTATGATTTTGCATTATATAGGATGTGTCTGTGGTTTTCCTTTAGTTAAGAGGAAGCAAAAGAAAAATTGGACCATATATAGGAGGGCATGTGTAAATTCCTATAAACTTCAATGGAAGCTGCATGTGTAAATTATAATGATGTCTTTTTTAAATAATAGTTCCTCTGATTAATTTTTGTCAAGTGATGTCTTAACATATTTATTCGAAGGAATCACAATTCTTATTTCCATTATACCAATCTAAAGCAGCTGTGAAATCACTGAAGTTATAATGCTGAGAGAAAATATTAATACACACGTTATCTTTACTGCAGTGAATGCCCTGGTTAAAAACAAACAAACAAAGAAAGAAAGAAAGAAAGAAAAAAAAAACAACCAAACTGTAAAAGAAAAAGAAAAATTAGAATAAAAAGTTTGGTTTACTTTTGTGTCATGAAATGAATCTTTACAGGCCTTTGGAAATGAGATGTACTCTGATGAGGATTTTCATAAGAAAGAAGCTAATTCTTACTATGTAATATTATAGCAAATATTCAACTCTCCCATTCATCAGGAAACAACTTTTTCCCATGGGAAAAATTTAAAGAAGTCTCTCACTGTCTGCTGCAGATGATTGAAGAAATCCTGAAGACTGAAGAAAGAGAATGACAAGTGATGCTGGGATTGGCTACTGGATATGAAAACTTCACCTGTAGGACACATTCCTGCCTGGTCTCTGCTAGCAATCCCTAAAAGCCATTCCCCAGTCATGCCTTTTATTGGCACATATCTAGTTACTTAGGTGGTCTTACTCAACTGCCCAGTGTGGAGATGTCCACACTGCAACTTGAACCATCTCAGCCTGGAAACTTGCTGGCAAAATAGCAAAGACTCAGTAGCAAAACCACTAAAAATGAACAGATATATACAAGGATACCAGTGAGGAGCTGGATGGGAGTACTTACTGAATTGGCCTGATAGTACTAAAGTCACACAGGAAATACAAGCAAGAAAAATGCATTAACTAAAAAAAAAAAAATTAGAATGCTATATACAGTAAACAGGCTTTACCAAAAAACTGCCACAAAAATTACCCACTTATTAGAAGGAAATTATGGTGGAGGCCACAGGGTTCTTCAAATATGATTAAAGCCTGCTGTTCTTTCTTATTCAAATCAATTCTGCTACTGCACTTCATAATGACAAGGAGTGCAAGTCATTTAATTGCCATTTAATTCTCATCAGACTGAATAATCATGATAACTTGTTGGCCAAGCATAAACTATAGAAATATATTTCTATATATATTTTCAACCAATCAGTTGTTGCAAATAAAAGTAAAACTGTGCCATAAAGTATATTCAGTGTTGACTTTCCCATTAAGCTAACTTTAGCACTTTCTAAGATGGGTCTATTAAGGCTGATCATACAGATTATATGTATTCATATATATATTCATAATTTATATATCAGCAGGACCTGATCCCTCATTTTTTGCTATTTTCTTCATCAACAAGCTAGGTTTCTTCAAGTTCTTTGCTTTTACAGCAACAAACCAATTTCGAAGGGCTTTACCAGCAGATAGGCTACTGCAATGTTCTGAAAATCGTAGCACCCTAAGCATGTAGCACTTAAACACATCTGTCTGGCACATTCAAATAAAAGTTGCACATAGGGATTTTTTTCTGGGATTATTTGTGTGCTGTAATGGGAAGGAGCTACTTGCAAACTGCTAGGGAAGCTTGAGGAGGCCTTATTTCATTATCTAAGCCAAGATGTTTTAAGGTTCAGTGGGAAACAGATACCCAAGTTCCCATGAACTGGACAAGAAACTGAGAGATGATTTAATTGGAAAATATAGTCCTAACCATTTCCTTACTAGTAGGATAATGAACACATTAGGTATGCCTTCCTGTAATGTTGAATATTAAGATCAGATTACCACAAAACATCCCAATACAGTCCTGGCACTGCCATTTGTATCAGAAACCCTGACCTAATCTGACGCAGATATCAAGGCCAAGCAAGATCATGACAAATAGCAAACAGAACAAAACCATCAGTACTTGAAATTATACATGAACTCAGCATTCTCAGTTTTCTGTTGTAGTCCAAATGTTTAGAGCAACAGTTCCCTTAAAAGGTGCAAGAACTGTACCACAAATCACCAGTGGGGCTACAGATACACTCTACCACTCTTAACAAAACATCTTTACTGAAAGAGCAGCTGAAATACTTCCAGAAATCTATTCATATAATTATTTGCTTATACCTAAACAGTAGTTTGCCCAGACAACTTATCCTTTTGTAATAAATATAAATTCTTAAACTCTTTTTTCTCTTTTACACCTTGACAACACCTATGCACAAGTCTCTCGTCTGCTTCATATTCTAATGAAAAGATTTCAAGGAGTGGGACACCTGAAAGTTTATGGTCTTCGTTAACGACAGACCAAAAGTTATCAACTGGATTTGCAGTTCAAATATTAAACAGGTCTAGAAAAAGTTATTTTAATGTAACAGGCCCTAAAGAGTCTATTTTTAGACTGGTAAATTTTTTTTCAAAGTGTATATGGAAGTGTCTAAAAATCTTCACCACTCTGATAAACAGCAGCAACACTGGCCATCTCAAGTCCAAGTAAAAGTACAAGTACAACAGAATGCAGAATTTAGTA